CCAGTTATATAATTCATTATTCTCCTGGCATGTCGTACTTGGAGATAAATAGCAGCGAATCCTGTGGACCTGTGCAACACAAGCTCCCATATTCCCAAGAACTTACTTCTCGGCCGTAATCTGATTTCAAAAATGATTTTCAGTCACACCAAAACTGTACTTGATTCAAAAAGTAGTTTATTCTGACGAAATTCGAGGTCGAGATCGTTATCGTAAACTACAGAAAACCCTTTATTTTCAATACCCATAAAATACGATAAGGAAAATAATTCGATGAGGACAAGAAAATTTCTGATGGAATATTTCAGCTGCTACTACAGCTGCTTTGATACTAGTCGACAAGTGGAGAAAGATGTTTTTCCACTTGTCACCAGCGTGGGACAAAGAAAAAATTCTGATTCCCAATTAGGAATCGAACCACAGACCTTCGGATTCCACACTCCGATGTTGTAACACTGAGTCGCATAGACTCTATGGTGAGCGAGGCCCATTACGAAGTTCATAAATGACACGCTTCCTGCATACTGCTAAGATCAGCGATGTCGTGAGCGTTATGTTTGTATATAGAATAAGAGAGATGGTAAGTTTTAAGCTCGGTAAGGAAATAGAGAAAGATGTGTTTCGACTTGTCACGAGCGTGGAACAAAGAAAAAATTATGAGTCCCCATGAGGATACTAGTCGACAAGTATACTTAAACAGCGATCCTCTTGATACAAATGTAAATAAATTTCTCGAACTCTGCTACCGTTCCATGTTTCAAAAGTAAAATTTTATCACAGTCTTTGATGGTGTTCAATTGATGAGCTGCAGTGATGACCATAGAGTCTCTCAGTTTTTCACGCACTACGCCCAAGATTGTTTTCTCTCTTTCTGGATCTACATTTGCAGTGGGCTCATCCAAGGCGATGATCTTGTTTCGTTGCAACAGCACACGAGCCAAACAAATCAACTGTCGTTCTCCAACACTGATATTTGCACCATTTTCCAACAGTTCGTGATCAAGTTGCCCGTGAAGACTTTTCACTGATTCTTTAAGTTGCACATCTTGTAGAACTAGCCATAAATTTGCATCGGTAAACTGCTCAGTAAGATCGAGATTTTTCCTCAGTGATCCACTGAACAGTAGTGGACTTTGGCCAAGAACAAATATACATCGTCGAGTTTCCTGGAGGTTGATTGCCTTTATTGGAATACCATCAATGATTACTTCACCACACGATTCAGGCATGCGCATTAGAGCTGCCACAAAAGATGACTTTCCAGCACCCGTCCGGCCAGCAACACCGATCTTTGCTCCTCCTTTGATATTGAGTTTGATATTCTTTAACACTTGCGGTCCTCCCGGATAGTATCTCAGCGATACTTCTTTGAATATGATATTTCTTTTATTTGGCCAGTTTTCCGGGGGTCGTCGTTTTATCATATATCCATGCTCACACTCAAGCTTGGTATAAGTAAAAACTCGTTCAACTGACGTCATTAGATCCTCAACCTCTGAGGTTGTTCGGATGGCGTAATGACACCGCCCAAGTCTTTTGACAACGTAAGCGAAGGCAAGTCCAGCAAAAGCTAATTAGACGAAAAATTGAAACAATGAATGAAGCAAATAAGATTTTAACTGATTTTTGACACTGAACAGTCAAAAGAGTAATCCTGTCACGCCCTTGCGGTGGAAAGTAAAACAAGGCAATACTGGGGGTTTACCTGAGAAGATTCATTTGTGCGGACTGTTGCAATTGCATGCAACTGGCATGATGAAGACCTGTTTGTTGGGGAAAAGATGCGATGTGGAGCACAAAAAGGGTGCAATAAAATCGCACCGATGAGAGCCAATCAAATTGCAAGGATCACCAATGATTTCAAAAATGGATGTAACAAGTACTTAATCCACTTTGCGACTCGATTGACCACTAGTACTTAGGATTATGCACAATATTAATCCCTGATTTTCCTCAGTTCTAAAGGGTGCATTATACTATACCTTTAACTGATCACCTTAATTCTGATGATCACTCAATCGAATTAGGGATTGGTTTTTTTTTAATACATACTCACTGGCTTCTTGAGACATAATAACAGCTGAAAAAGCCACTGCACTAACAAATAGTGATGCAAGAATTTCAAATCGCACACTGATCCATTTCCCACCGGCCATTACCAAGATGTTTGCTTGATTCAGAACATCATGGTGTCTTCAAGAAAGCAAGAGAATAGGAAAAAATTAGTGGGTTATTCACTGCTTTTTGATAATTTGAACTGACAGGGCATTTGGAAAAAACTTCTGTTTGAGTTGACGGTAGGCTCTTTACCAGCTTCTCGTCTCTTTTTGGGAAGGAGCGAGAATCAGACACTAGAGATCAGCGGAAATCGAGCCTAAGATGTCGGGTACCCGTTTTGTTCTGAGGGAAATACATTACTTTGCAGTAGCTATTTATGGAAATGACGATATGACGTCTTTCTTTTATTTCTACAAATTAAGTAGTTCATTTCTGAAAATCCATTGTACTAAGTCAAGATGCAAGTCGGATAAAATTAAGACGAGGCGAACCCACCTGTAAAACTGATCCACAAAATCACTTTGTCACCCTCTGGTTCGAATCGTTTCCAGTCCATCAAGGGTCTCCGAAATGTGAGAGAACACTGGACTACGACTTATGCTACGCTAACCTCTTCAGTTCCTGGGATGTCTTAAAATAATACGTGGACAGGTGTATAGCAACCACAATCAATGGCATAAGTATGAAAATAAGCCAAGGATTAATAAAAGCCGTGACAATTAGTGGTGCAAGCACATTTAAGGTTGAGTCGATCGCTAGTTGAAACGTCCTTGGTAACTGCTCGTCCAACTGACCGATATCTTTGGAAAATCGATTAAGGATTCTTCCCAAGGAATTTGAATCAAAGAATAAAAAAGGAGCTTGTAAAGTAGCAACGACCATCTTGTCATGAAGACGCTTAGAGCATCGCAAAAAGTAGGAGAGTAATACATATGTTCTTGTCAATATAAACAGGAGGGATACAACAGCAAGACATCCATAGACTGAACTAAGTTTGACTAATCTTTCTGATCTTGAGGGAGTTGCTTTGTCATGAACAAGAGCCACACGTCAGGAGCAACCAACATCCCTGGGTGGAAAGGGAAAGCAAAGTAAGTAAAGTAAAAAGTTTCCATGTGCTGATTCTCAATCGTATCAAAAGGAACGAAGATTTTGATTGCTTACTTGATGTACCTTTGAGACACACGCACACTGACACTCGATAGGAAAGATGAAGAAACAATTTTTGCATCCAATTTATTTCAAATCGGAACAAATTCAATATTTTTTTATCCTTGTTGGTAGGTCAATATTAGATGGGAATGTTGAAATTTTCACGATGTGATAAATAGAATAGACCTCTGCCCGCTTGTACAGCTGTTTCATTTAGAGATCAGAAATATTTTTCTCTAATAATCAGAGGGTCTCCATGGGATAGGGACCTCTACGGCCAATAGTTAGAATATTACGGCAACATGACACAAAATGACACATTGGAAAAAGGAAAGATTTTTACCTCTAGAGGCTCAAATTTGTCAAGTTTTTCGCCTAACAGCTTTTTTTGGCCGTTTTACGGCTAACAGTTAACCCCATTTAAGCCCTCTAATTACAGAGAGAAGTAAAGCAGGCTGCAAATGCAGTTTAGTCTTGGATTACTTTTGACGCTAAAATGATATTTGTGCAATCATGGCAAACTCTTTCTGAGAGGCCGTTTTTAAGTCTTATCTTGGGCTGTTACGGAGAAAAGGATTATTGCCAAAATCATTCAAGAAGACATTCCGCTTCTTAAATAACTCCAGTAAAGCTTGGAAGAAATTACTCCGATTTCCCAATCTTCTTTTGGCATTAGAAGACTCCTTGTTTCTTTCGACGGAGATTCCATCCCAGCGAAGCAGAGAGCAGCTCCAACACTTCCATTTTCTTCCTCTCCTACAAACTTCTCATCTGTATTGTGTTTTGAAATCTTCTTGTAGAGCGGGTCAATAGTGTTACTAAGGATTCCTTTGTCTTGCAACTCAAGAAAACTACCTCCTTCCAGCACACGCCCCTTACACAACACAATCACTTCATCAGCGTGTTTCATGTGGTCTTCTTGATGAGAGGTCATCATCCGAGTTTTATTGCGTAATAGTTGTTTGATACACTTTTCAAATATATGTTGTCCAACTCTGAAGTCCACGGCGCTCAGAGGATCATCCAAAAGATACACATCTGCATAACCGTACACTGCGCGTGCTAGGCTAATCCTTGTCCGCTGGCCTCCACTTAAAACAACACCGCGTTGGCCTACAAGTGTTTGATCAGTATTAGGAAACTGCTGGATGTCGTCAGTCAGAGCGCAGGCCTCAATTACTCTGGTGTATTTTGAATCATCATATGAGAAACCAAACAAAATGTTGGCTCGTGTGGTTCCAGAGAATACCCAAGCCGTCTGCGGAACATACGTTTAAGTTCCTCGGCAGGATACTTCTCCGTGTGT